GCTGCCCCTTTGCTTGCCTGCATATAGAAACTGTGTGTTACAACTATCTAGTGTCAAACAAACTATCCAGTGAGTATCAAACAAGCTCACTATTTTGATTTTACATTTCCAGTTCATTTCTTTCATTGATTCTAAATGTTTCCCCCATTAGACTCTCCTTTTCGCAAATGCATTTACATGGAACTGGAATCAGTCGCTGACTTATTTTGCACAAGCTCAGCATTTGCTTCCTTTATTATTTTAATCTAAGACTTTGTCCTTTGAACAGGTACATTTTTAATCTGTCCATCAATTCAGTGATGAGAGTCTTTCCTTTTGTTTCTGCTGGACAACCTTCATCCAAGGTAAAAGTGAGATGAGCTGTGAGCTTTCTGCAATTCTAGATAGATTTTTTGTTAGAGGATGTTTCCTGGTACTTTTTTACAAGGTAGCAAAAAGAATCAGAGATCCTCCTCTCTTTATGAATATAAAGATGTAAATCTGAGGCAAACTCAAAAATCTCCAGATGAAATTTGACATGGAACATGTTTCTAATTGTTTACTAAATTTTTTAAGCTGATTAAAGAGCAAGGTCTGCTTTACAGCTCTTCACAGATATATATGTGTGTGTGAGTATTTATATATTAAAAATCTGTATCTCTATAATAAAAAAATGAACTGATTTTCACTGGAGTAAAAAGAAGTGTTCTGCAGATAGTAACTGACCAGGTTAATCTATTGTAAATATTGTACCTCTGAAAATTATAGGTGGAGATTTTTCTGCTTGCTTAATAACCAAACACTGGTCCCTGATAAGTCCTGTAGCACTGGACTGGATCCATTCTGGATCTCTGCAGGTGCTGAGTGAAAGCACTAAATTGCAATGTAAAAGGGTGTCCTAGTTAGGACAACTGAGACCAGTTCATCATGGTATGGGTGTAACCCAAAACTGTGTATTCTATAGCCTTCCATGCCATTTCCCAGAAACTGTTGTCAATAGACTATTCGCACCCTCTGCCCACAGAGCCTGACTCCTCAGGCTATAAACGAGGTGTTAAGAGGCCTGTGAGATAGGAGGATGCTCTTGTCCTCACACCCTTTGTGGAACTCCCCGCCCTGAGGGAAGCACTGAACATTCCTGCCTGAACTGGGGGATATATAATCTTGGAGTTTTGGAACATTTTTAACCCATTCGTGGGATCCAGAGGAAGACTGCAGCTCATCGCTCTCAACCGGACTTAGACCACCACCCTATACTGGACTGCAATCACCCCTTTTGACCAGACTGCAACAGCTCTCCCACCAGCAGGTTCTTCCCCTCTCCCTTTACTTTGGACTCAAGCGGGGCCCAAGGAAAACCACTTTGTTCATGCCCCAGGGTACTGGGTTATACATTTGGGTTTTGTGGGTTAAGACCAATTGTTTGTTTGTATGATTGTACTTACTGTATTATTGTAATAAATTGTTATTCTGACTTATAATCTCTCCTTTGAGTTGAGTTCATTTCCCCTGCTGGTTAACTCTTAAACCAGCACAAAGGGCGATGACCAGCACTGTATCAGGGCTTTCAAATACCAAAGATCAGGCTCCTGTGTGCTGTGCTCAACTTGCTTTGCCACACCAGACCCCCAATAAAAGCCTGCTCCGATCCTGCAGAGGTAGGAGACAGGGAATGATGTCCTGAAGGCTGGAGCCTGTGTAGACAGGAGGCATCGAGCACTGACTTGGGCATTGAGAATTTTCTTAATGGAATTAAGAAAGGATTTTCTAACCTACAGCCTGTCTGTCTGTCTGTCTGTCTGTCCTGGCTTCCCACGAAACAGCTCCTCACTGCCTGCCTCTGTGGGCCAGCATCCTCATAGCTGGGGAAGCTGAAGTCGTTCAGAAGGTACTGGAAGAAGACTGGTGCTAGGATGGGTGCTTGGTCCCAGTGGCACCTCTGGGACTGCTCTTAGCCCGGCTTTGCAACCCAGGAGCTGGGACAGAAAAGGAAAGGCTCAGAAGGAGTCTTCACTTCTGGTACCTTAAATGGTGCCCCCTAACTTGAGTTAGGGTAGGAATTATCTGCCCTTGCTGGGGGACAGCACGGCTGGGGCAGCTTCACGCAGCGTCTGGGCTCCACGTGAGGCCAGAGGAGTCACATTCCTGTGCACCTCTCCCCAAGGACTGTCCCCAGCCCAGCTCTCCCTGCAGCTGCCACTACTGTCGAGTACTCACAGATGAGCTTGACCTCGGCCAGGCTCTGACGCACAAATGCTACAACAAAGGATAGTGAGCAGAAACCCATCTGCTCCCACACCCATATCTTGACCTTGAGACCCTTGGTCTGTCTCCCTGGTCCTGTGCCAGCAGGAGATGTGGGGGCTGGCTCTGTTTCATTTCTCCTTTGCAGATGGGAGAAGGAACAGAGCCTGTTTGTGTTCCTCTGGACTCAGTGATTTACGTGACCTGGGCAGCCTCTTCACTCTGCTTGCGCTGCACTTGCAGCCTCACAGTGTGTGTGCCCCTCGCCGGCACCATCCCCAGTACGGGGGCTCTGCTCCCTGCCCAGCACGTCACTCGGGGCACCTTCTGGGGGCATGACAGTGGAAGAATTAAAAGAAAAACAGTCCAAACGATGGTCTGCTCTCATCTGCAGCATTTGCCTTTGGTTCATTCCAAAGATACATTTCAAAACTTTTTGACACCTCTGACGTCAGAGGAGCTCTACAGAAGCATCCGTCTGTTTCCCAACACATCCAGCTGTGCTGCCTCCAGCACCTTCTGCCCTTGCATGAGCTCCTCCGTGGGTGTCATCCCTCGTCCCATGCTGATGGCTGGACACTCTGTGGTCTCACCCTCTGTGGTTGTCCAGCTGAGCTATGGCCCAGGGTTATGAACAGGGTGACACAAGGCAGGACACTCAGCAGGACTCAGGTTCCACTGGGTGCAGTCCTGCAGCACTAAGCAAGGAGAGAAGAGCAGGTCCATGAGGACCTACTGCAGACCTCCCTCCAAATCACCTCCTTTCCCTTAACCCCATGTGGGGCAGGACTCTGGTGTGAGAAGTCACCATAAGGCAGAGGGACCACTGCCCTCCTGATTGCCCCATCCCTGCAGATATGACCTTACACAGCAATACCTCCCCACTTCAGGTGAATTCCCCTGACTCTTTCTCTGTGTCTGGCAAGCCAAGGGTCTCTCCTTCACAGGAGACCTACCAGGAACTCCAGTCTCCTCCCTGGAAAATGTTTCCTTAGAGCTGCCTGCACTCTGCTCCTCTCCAATGCCCTGCCCAGTGCTCCCTCATAACCAGGTAGGGCTGGCCAGCATTTGGCTTTCTGTACAAACAAGATAGAAAAGCTAAATTGTTCTATTTCTTCCCCTCTATAATTTAGAAAAAGAGAAGCTCTGCTCCATGACCCCTCTTCAGACTTTGATACATTTTGATGTACTCTGTAGCCTTGTAATTTTTCCCCCACATCATTATAAGATAATACTAAGTGTGTGTTAACATAAGAGCTGCCAAAGATGTTTGAAAGGCTTGTTTGTCCCTCTGCAAAGGGAAATCCTCCCCCTCCCTGCTGTATGCATTTATCGCTCCAGAGATTTATTGTTCTTCGAACTACTCAGAAGTGCAGTTGCCTTTCTGGCATTGTTCTGTTTTGTTTATTTGCTATTTCTGACATTCTGCTGAACAGAGAGTAGGAAAATTGGCAAAACATATGAAGAAGACTTTCGTTGTGTGACAATAACACAAGGCAGGGCAAGAGAGGGATTTAATTAATATTTTTAACAGATGTTGATCATAAAAGAAGGAGAATTATTCATTTGCATGTATCAGTACTTTTGATGACGGGTTAAGTGGAGAATTTTGGCATTGCTTTTGTACTGATGTGTCCTCCAGTCAGATTTAATATGCACAGAGAAAGCTCACCAAACTCCATTAGAAGAAAGCTTTAAAAAAAAATGTCTCCAAACTATCCCTAACTTAATGAGTACATATACTCATTTATGTAGTTTTCCAAAGACTCAGCTTTTCATCTTGCTTTTTGGAAAATTACTTTTAATGTTTTTCCTGTTTAAAGTGAATCTTTTCACCTTTACTGGGATGAGAAGCTCTGTAAGTAGGTGCTTGGCAGTGGTCCTGCTCCATGTAGTAACATTCAAACTGCCCAGGGATTGGTTTAGCCCTCAGAAATTTTGCTATAACTAAATATTTGAGAACATTTGTTTGACCTCTTTGATATGCCACAGATATATAAATGTCAGGAATATCTGTCTGAAATCAGTCTGGATAAACAGCCTAAGGCACATCTCTGATACACACTGAGTTTGTATTCCAAGGGATAAGTTGCATATAATGCCAGGCAGGATGTTGGTGACAAAACCAACCACCTGCTCTTTTACTTTGTGAAAGGAGGAGCCTCCGTATAGATGCACATCTTAGGGAGGCATGGTAATTCTTGTCATGCCAAATTTTTATGGGAAACATCTCAAATCTCTCAGGAGATCTGAGCCAGCCTGCACCTTGCTGGGAGCCCTGGCAGGAACTGCAGAGCAGCAACTGTCCCCACTTCCTGGGAATGTGCAGTCAGCTGTGTCTTCCTAAGGGGTGAAATAATGAATTGGCTTTTTCTTGCTATGTTTTGAGCCTGTCCTTCCTTTTACGGCTGTAAAAGCCAAGAATTCTAGGAAAATCTCAACACGTGTTGGTCTGAGTTAACAGAAGCCTTCCTGGGTGTGGGGAGGTCAGGAGAGCACATCCCCAACCCCACCACCCTACCCTGAGGAGCTGTTACTTGAACAGACTGAGTTGCTTGAGGCTGAGCTCTCTTTATCTCTCTCAAACTAGAAAAACACTTCCTGTGAGAAGAAATTCTTTTGAATGAACCCTCCCATCTTTTTTTCTAATGTGCTGTTAGAAGGACAGTAATTATTCTTGCAAGCAAGTCCACAGTCACAGATTTGGATGTACTCAGTGGCTGCAAAAGAATTCGAAGGGAAAGGAAGCATAAGTACGACCTAGATTAGAAAATACTTCCATATTTGTACAATACGACTGGAAGGACGAGGCGCCTTCATGCTTCGCAGCTGAAGGGTAAGTTGCCCATCTGCAAAATATTCCCCCTTCCACTGTCAGGAAGCTCTTGGGCCATTTTACGCTCCTAAAATACATTTCTAGGGGATGTTACTGCAGATAACAGTGCTGAACTCAGCACTGCTGGCTTCTCCTTGCTCTGCTGCTCCTGGAGAGTAAGGGGTGCTGCAAACTCTGTGGATGTTTAAAACTCCTCTAAGCCTTTTGTGTTGATCATTTTTCTTCCCAAGGTTATTTTCTAATCCCTGTTGATGTTGCAGTCCAGCTCACAGTGTTTCCCTACGGTGGTAATTAATGAGGAGGCAGAAAGGATTATTGGCTGCAGGAAGAGGTGACATAAGCAACCATGGGCGCAGAGAAATGCCTCCAGGGACAACTCAGTGGGAGGTGCGAGGACTTTGGTCCACGCCAGTCCAGCCTCCCTGTGGCAGGGCCATATTCACACAGTGTAACTTCCAGTGCAGAGCTGGGAAGTGGGAGACAATGTTTCAGTAGCTCTTGCTCAGAAAATCCACCCCAAGGTGCACCTGGGACTTCAGGACTTGCCTTTGCTTAGGAGGAAATTTGGCCGTGTCAGCCTTGGTAGGTGAGGTTTTGCGATGTGCTGTTGTCTGCAGGGTGCTGAGGCTGTCCAACAGTGACAGTCCCCCCCTCGAAGGGCATTTGGCCCTGGGAGGAGGGTACTTGTGCAGGAGGTTTGCCTGTTCTTGCTAACACCAAGTGAGAATGGAAAATAAGCAAGTTCCGATGGTGACAACGAGGGACAAGAAAAATGTGCCCTTCGGGAGATTAAAACCAGCTTGAAAAATTATGCGTACAAGGGAGGGAGGAGGAGGGGAGAGACATCTGTGCTTGTTTATTCATTCATATTTCTGCTGACCTTTATTACACTTAGACTATGCTAGATGATGATAGTAGAAGTATTTTGTGTCTAATGATGATCTGGAGGGTGGGTGTGTTCTGTGTCACCTGTACAGCTCCTCCTGGCTCAAATTCCCTTACACTCCACTGTCATCTGATGGAGGTGTAAGCTCAGATCTTTTTAGTTCAGTTGTTTTGCTTTATATTTTCTTTTACTAGTGGGCTGTGATCAGACAGGAGTAGAGAGAAATCAAACATTATTAAGCACTTTGAGACCTTTTGCTCTTTTTGAGCTAACACACGGGAGTTCTTAATTTCTTTGACAACTAAGGGGTTTTATTCGACTCTGTCTCAGCGCTGTGGCCATAAGTTGTTCTCCGTGCCCAACACATGCTATCCAGAGTCTATCTAGGGATATATACACAGGGATACGTACCTTGGAACACTGCCTGTTCTGGTGCTCTGGTGAGGCACAACAGCCCAGTTGGTTCCTCATGCAACATCAAAGAGAGGGATGTGCCTTGGCCTGCATTTTAAAGCAGATGCCCCTGGGGGAGCAGATCACCGGCCTTTTGAAATTTGTCCATCCATTCAGCTCCCAGTTCCCTTATCTCTGCTCTCTGCTTTTCCACTTCGTCATAACTCATTCTGGGAAAAGGAGGGCAGGAACGGGAAATACTCCTTTAGACCTGTCTCCACTGATTTCCATTTCCACAGGGCAAGTCAGACTCCTCCTGGGTGTGAGTACCACAGACTAAATCTTCCCTTTGTTTGTTAAATTAGAGCAAACCTCTGCTGCCAGCTACCACAGCCAACTGCCACATCAGCAAAGACTAAACCTGGCCAGAGGAGCTTCTAAGCAAGAAATCACATTTTCTAGGGTTTGGAAGAGTCAGTATGTTGGATCAGATTCACCTGCTTGCTGCTGTGACAGTCCTGGGAGTCCTGGAGCAAGGTAGGGACTATCAGATGCACATGCTCAAATACTTGCTGGGTCAATCTACTGCAACTCCACTGATTTTCTTTCAGTTTCGTATTTAGTGTCTGCTATTGCACTGGCACTTTGCTGCTTTTCAGACAGTAAACTGATATCTTGTCTGGGTTTTGGAAAGTATTCAACCAAATGAGTGCCTGGGAAGCCCTTCCTCTGAAATGGCCTGCCTCCTTCATTCGGGAATTTCTTGGTTGATCTACAGACACGTAGAATTTCTTTCGTTGGGTTTACAGCAGTTCCTGAAGTGTGTGTAGATACAAGCATACAAAGAGCTCTGCAGTGTGGAAATGTGGAAGGAGGGGCTGTGATGGGCCACACGGAACCACCCAGCCATGGGTCCACATTGCATGACAATTTAATTCTGTGTCTGGGTGACTTATCTGTGGCATCAGTTCTGTCCCTCCTCGGTCAGAACTTGGAAAGAGGAAAAAGCTAAAAGATTGAAAAGAAAATTGTGAGTAACAAAGTGCATCAGAATTGTGTAATAGTTTCTATGGAACTGAGGATATCTTAATTACACAGGAGAGAAAGCAGATAACACTGGTGATACATGATTGCATACTCTTCACTTCACTGTTGCACTGGGTCATTCCTTTTCCATACCTAAAAAGCAACTGGGATTTTACTCTAACTTTCTCTGCTATGATGGGTTGTGGGGTCAGGAGGAGCATGCAGATCTTTTTCCCCCGACATCTGATCATCTCCTGACCCCACTGTGCCCAGCCACAGGACTGACCATGGCTACTTTTCTCTCTTTTGCTGCAGCCTACTTCTTCCTCCAGGTGATCTATGCTAGGAGGTTGTTTGGCATTTCACCTCCAAAGACCTCAGGCCCACCTGAATTTGAGAGGGTCTTTCGAGCACAGTAAGAACCTCCTTCTATCTGATGTTTGCCAGATCTCATGTGTAATGACACTGCTTTTCCCCTGCTTTGCCATTCCTTTCTCAGGACTGTAATTCAGCAGTTACTCACCTCCCTCGGGGTTAATTAGTGGGTTGAAGAGCCAACATCAAGACTGGACTGGCTCTCGAGTCCTGAATCAGCCATTGCTGATAGAAATCACGTAGGAATCTGCTGTACAGTGAAGGGCTGCTAAAGTCAGCTCTTGGTGCCTGAGACTTTGGCTGGTTTTAGCCAAGTGGTGTTCAAACCTCAGGCAGCTTCAGCCCTGCTCTGAATCCTGCTCACTGGGAAGGACAAGCTCCCAAAAAGATCTCATTGGGTCTGGGATGGGGATGTGGGGATTGTGGTGCCACTATCCATCATCTCTGCCTGACTTCTGTTCTAGGGCTGCAGTGGGGAGGGAGGCAGAGAGGGAGGAGCTTCCACTTTTGCTGGAAAACAAGCCACTGGGCAGCAGGAGCAGGATCCCCTCAGCCATTCCTTTCTCTGCTCCTTCACCAGCCTAAAGTCAGCCTCATCCAGCATCTTTTGGCCCTATTTTGTCTTCAGGAGGATGGGGAATGGTGTATGAGCAACCCAAACAGCCGTGTGCTCCCTCCCACTCCTGCATGAAGCCAAGCTGCTCTGGCCTTACCTGCTTGAGGGGCAGACCTTCCCTGCAGCTCTTCCCTGGGGCTTTGGGACATTGATAGAAGGGTTTGGGTTGTGGCATTTGGGAAGGGGGAGTGGGGGTGGTTCACAAAGCCTTTCTGTGCACAGTCTGACCTGGGCATCTTTTGCTTAATTTTTTGTGCCCTGGAAACCCAGTTCCTTCCACTGTCTAATTTCTGTGAATAAAGATGGGACAGGAACTGTGGGGAAATGTGCAAGCCTGGAGGCTTCTTATGGCAACATCTCTTCTAAAAAACAATAGCCTCCAGCATCTGGAAACTGCTAAGGGAACCAAAAAAGGAAGAGCTTCCTTCTTTCCCTTGTTTACGACCTTCCTCTTTCCCTCCAGGGTGAACTCCTCTGAGTATTTTCCAATTTTCCTGGCACTTCTGTGGCAGGCTGGACTCTTCTTCCACCAAGGTGAGAATATCCCATTACCTGTTTTGTCACTGGATCTGTTCCCAAGTACTGGCTCAGTCCTCAGGTCCTGCTCACCTTCTGAACAATAAGTTAAGCAGTAATTCTGTCTCTGAGGGAGGGTAAAGCCAGAGGACACAGAATCTCTATTCCTTTGCTTTGGGCTACCTCTGTAGATCCAAGTGGCTCCAAAAAGCTTTTGGAGCTGGTGACTGTGATCTCTCTTAACCACAGGTCTGGCTGCAGCTTTGGGTCTGCTCTATCTCTACTCCCGCTACTGCTACTTTACAGGATACAGGGCATCATCTTCAGAAAGGTAAACACCTCTGCTAGAGCCTGGAGTGCCTGGTAACCCCTGGGGAGTTGTATTTGGGAACATAATGTGCTTTCAGGAAACTCAGGACTCCCAGATGCTCCGTTTTGGGGTTCCTGCGTGGCTCAGCCTTGTCTATGATGCGTAATGAGGGCGTGGATGAAGGGCTGGGGGCAGCTACACACATACGGGGCAAGGCTGGAGCTGCACCGAGCCCTTTCAGGGTGTGCTCCCTGGAGGCAGGAGCAGTGCATGGCACCCCACAGAGGGGACAGGGGACAGCCAGGGGCTGCCTTCCCACCCCACTTCTGCAGAGAGGAAGGGACCATTCCCGGGCAGGATACTCGGTCTCAGCAGGCTGCCTCTCTCCCACCAGGCTCACCCCAATATACTTTTCTGCTGGAGTTCTCTGGATTCTCGTTGGAGCGTCAGCCCTGGGTATCCTGCATTCCTTGCTCTCTCACTACGTGGGGCTGAACCTCCTCCAACTTCTCACAGCGTGACCCAGTCCTCTGTCCCTCATCAGTGTCCTCACCTTGGAGTTCTGCTCCCTCCTGCACTCCGTTACAGACTGGCTGCAACTCACACAGCCCCCAGCAACAAATCCACCCGCATCTGAGCTTTTATCACCTCCCTTCTCCTGCCCAGCACCAGCACGAACTGCTGAGCTCTTCAGGAGGTATTTTTCCCCCGAGGCACTTCTGTGTGCCAAGTGCTCCATATCTGGCAGCTCCATCATGCGAAACACCAACGATCCAAAACAAGGAGAGTTTTAGGAAAGCTGGACACATAAAAGCAAACTCTTCTCAGTCTGAGTTTCACAGTGAGCTTCCCCAGGGAATGGCCATGTGTTCCCTGTTCTCCAACAGCCCTGCCTGCAGCCAGGGCACTGAACAGATTCATGCCAGTTTGCCGAGGCCCACACCTATTAAAGGCATTTGTTTGGAATTCAGTGTGGGCTGCGGCATAACAAAAGAGGTGAGGGGTAAACAGGAGCAGCCACCAACATGTTGTGCAAAGGTCTGTTAGTACCTTCATGCTGCTCATCAGCCATTGCCTATGAGACTGCACAAACTCATCACTGCTGCGTGTGTGACTTCCAACACTGCTTGGCAACAAGGTGCACAATTAAAAAGTCACTGAACTTGCTGTTCTAGGTGTCTCTTTGTGAGTCTTCAGCTAGCAGGGAACAGCAACATGAGTGTTTGAATGCAAGGTGGCTGCCTTGGTTTCCCTGATGTGCAGTCCAACACAGCCTGCAACCTTGTGTGCCACAAGAGGAGAGCTCTGAGGAGGGAGAAGCTGATTTTTGGAGATGCTGAGCTCACCGATTGGATGCTGAGCCGCTCAGCATCAAGAAGTGTTTTCCACTGGGTAGTTTGCACAGTGCTCAAGTCCCACCTGCATCAGGAAGGGCTGGATTTTCACAGGAGTCCACCATTCACAACACTGATGCTTTTGGCCATTGGTGCGTTTGGTGCCCTCCTGTTAGTGATACAGCTCAGGAAACACCAGCAGTGCTGTGTGTCGTCACAGGGGGAATTCACACCAAACCCAGAGAGCAAAAATAACTGCATGAGCATGCTGCCAGTCTAACCACACTGTAAAGCCTGCTGGTCACTCCTCCCTTCACCAGCAGCAGGCATATCTATACTGTAAGAACAAAAGGCAGGGGTTTTTTTGAGGAAGTGATTAATTCTTCACATTGTTTCATTTCCTTCCCTGCATTTTAAATTGGCTTACCCAGCAAAACCCCCAGTCTATTTTGCTTTTGAGCTCTCCCACCTTGGAGTCCTGCCACTGCACTGAGGCTGGCAAACACTGCAGGGGAAGGCTTAAAGCCAGACAAAAATAACTGTACAACACTTGTCTCTACAAAGTTTTTGGTGCAGCACAGCCCCATCCTCACAGGAACCCCTGAGTGTCACAGTGAGATAAACTTTTTTCCTGGCATCTTTGGTGACACACTTCCAAAAAGGTTGAGCATAGTTTAACCCTGGCTGTGCCTTAGCAAAGTCTGGGGCTAGCAAGGGAGGGACAGACATACCATCTGCCCCCAGGGAGATTTCACTTAGCCTTTACATTAACAGGTCCCACCATCTCCTGAAGTTCATCCCCAGTCTTCACCTTTTTACCAGTACAAGTCACCTCCCAGAGGGTTAATAGAGAAGGACCAGCCCCAGCTACTGGTGCAGGTCCTGACTCCATGTCAAAACCCCGCTGTTTGGGGTTAGTCCAAGTGGGTGCTCAGTGGTTCTGCAAACACAACCTCTGTCTTTTATCCTACAATCAATTTTCTAAGCCTGCTGTATCAACCTGGAGCCACTACCCACCTCAACCCCGCTTGTGTCCACTCTGTGTGTGACAGGGCTGCAGAATGACTCAGAGGAGGGAAATTAATGATTCAGCAGTGAGTTGCAGCCAGCTTCTCCCCTTGGATTCACGGAAGACCATTAAAAATCCTGTCATGTCGCAGTCAGGCTCTGGCCTTGGTATCTGCCATCGCTAGTTCTGCCATAGAAAACCTGCCAGGCTCATCATTGGCCCTTCAAGCCACTGTCAGAGGGGCCATTTCGGGTGCCCTGAGCAGAAGGAAAGCTGCTCCCCTCCACTAGGGCTGCTGTCATTGCTCTGCTTCTTCATCAAAGAAAACGGCTTTGCACTAGTCCATGGTTCAACCATGCAGGCCACGGTTTTGGCATTTACCCAGTTCACAGTCTGCTGCCCAGCACGGTGTGCTGGTGCTCTATGGCACCAGTTTGCCCACCTGCATCTGCTGCAGAGGTGCTGAGGGGCCAGTGGGCTGGCAGGGGCTGTGCTGGGGGGCTGCCCCTGCCACCCCGGGCCACCGTCCCGCTGGTGTGAAGGCCACCCCATGAGCTCCAGTTTAAGGGTGATCCAACCGCCACCAGCACTGCTGCACAGCCCGTGTCCAGCGCCAAGGGTGAGGGTGCCCCCGCTGCCCCGCGATGGGGGCCAGACCCGCGCAGCCAGACCCGCTCCCCCACGTGTTTGTGTCCCCGCTCTCCCCGGGATTCCTGTCCCCACTCCACCTGGGATTCGTGTCCCCACTCCCCCCCGTGTTTGTGTTCCCGCTCCCTCCGGAATTCCAGTCCCCGCTCCCCCGTGGAGTTTATGTCCCCACTCCCCCCGGGATTCGTGTCCCAGCTCCCTCCGGGATTTGTGTCTCCGCTCCTGCCGCCCCGGCCCCGCCGCTTCCTCCTGGGGCCGGGAGAGGGCGCTGGTGCCCCGCGGCTGCGGCGGCGGGCGGGGGGTCCAGGGGTGCCCCGGAGGTCCGGGGGGTCCAAGAGAACCGGCCACCGGCGGCTCCGGGCCCGCCGCCCGTGCCGGGGCACCTCCGGCCGCACCCGAGACATGCCCGGGGCAGCGCTCCCCGGGCAGCCGGCACGGCCGCTGGCACCCAGGCATGGCCCGCCTGCTTCGAGCTTGATCCGTGCTGGGCCAGGCTCTGGCATTAAGGTTATTGGATTGGGGGAGTCCTGGAGCCTCGCAAGAATCTCCTGGAGACGCTTACGACACGCATAAAGAGCCCCTGCAAGCGCTGTGCGGATTCCCGAGCTCCTTCCTGCTTCCTTCCCTTACAGCTGCCAGTTCATTGTCAGCAATAGAGGAGAGCAAAAGGTTTGGCGTGAGGTATTTGGAAGCAAATCCACCCTGATAGTGCCACAGGCTCCCAGGAGAAGCAACCAGCCGGATGGGAGGCCGGTAGAGAACAAAGGAAACCCGCAGAACCAGCGAGAACTGTTTTTTTAATCACGAGAAGCGCAGAGGCTGAACTTGTAAACAACTCTCCGTCCCCGTGGGGCTGCTTGCCACGCGAGGGGCGGTGAAGGCACAGCATTCCATCCGGGCTCCCGGCAAGTCTTGTATCCTGGTGCAGAACTTTGTAGCTTATTATCTTGAAAACTTCAAGGGCGCCCGCGTGTACTTTCCTACCCGTGACGTGTGGCCGGTGCCGGATAAGTGCACAGACAGGTCTGGTGCGAGCAGCAGCGGGTTTGCACGTGGCCACCAGCACCGAGATACTGTGCCCTGGGACTGGGGAAAAAAGCACCCGAGCCCATGGAAGAGTTCTCCAGTCCCTCCGTAGCACGGCGTGGTGGGATAGGTGGAATTTCCCTGGAATTTCCATGGGAAGCAGCACTGCTAACTTTCTTAGGGGAGGGAGGTGTTTGGGAGGGGAACTCCCGTGAGGCTGGGAATGGAGGGTGCAGCTGGTGGCCATGGCTTTGTGGCACTGGCATGTCACCCAGGTTTCCATAGCACCAGCATCCATAACACGGGGCCAAGGAGAGGGAGAGAAGTAGGTCAGACAGGGCTAACAATACCCAGACGTGTCTATCTGCGGCTCAGCCTGATCCAGGAAAGGGGGTGAAACGGACAAGAAAGGAAGAGAAAAAGAGGAGGGGGGGGGAAAAAGGAAAATACAAAGTATCCGCAGTTTGAGCAATGCTTTTCTTTTCCTCAGAAAAATAAAGACCTTTTAAAGCCACCTTTGTGTATCAGCGCTGAGCAACCGAGACTAGCACCCACCTCCTGCCCATCTGACAACAGACTACAAGGGAATTCAAATGCTAATTTGGAGCCAGGCTTCTCAATGGGCCTTTATTTCTGTAGCAGCACCAGGATCAGAGCTCTGGGGAGGCAACCGGCTGGAACTGTGAGGATGCAGACTCCAGAGAGGGACTGTGGGACACTTTCCTTTCCCCTCTCCATTCCTCACCCTCACTTTGTTACCCCTTGTCTTAGTTTTACTTGTTCACATGCAAGTGACTTCAAGGGAAAAAGAAAGGCAGGCACAGAGGAGCTGTTCAAGTGAAATACCCTCAGTAGTGACCCATTTTATGTGCTGAGTCTGCAGAGGCCTTGCCGTCAATGTCCCAGCATTTTGGGGATTGCCTGTTTACAGTACAGTCGTTTCGAGCTCTGTATCCATCAATGCCAAAACTAGGGAGAACATTATGGGCAGTAAGATCCAGAAGCCTGTTGATCCAAGTAAACATACGGACACACAGATCTGCTGGGGATGTAGCAGACCAAGATCAGAGGAAGGAGTGCTTTGCTCAGGGGGAACTGGGGGGTGGAAGTGCAAGAGCACAACCCTCGCTGGAGAGACAGAGAGGGACTGGGGTGGCTGTGGCTGACCCGTGTCATACCTGCGGTTTTGAGAGCACTGTGCTTGGCTCAAACACCATCACGGAGGAGCCACAGCAGTGGATGGAGCACAGGGTGTTTCAGACAGGCCAGTGAGAGCAGGCCCCTTGCCTGCAGGCACGTTTGCCCTTCACATTAACCACAGGCCACAGCCCTGTGCAGTGAAAAACATTCCTGCATTTGATAGTGGGGTAAAATCTAAGCAAACCCAAAGCTATCTGCCACTTCGTTAGCAGACTGGGAGGAAAATCCACACCTTGAGGATACAATTTGCCTCATCCTCATCAGTTTTCTACTTCCCAGCAATTACCACTTGTAGGAGAGCACCAAGAATTCACCTTTCGCGGGGTAAGGGCAGAGCCACGGTATATATAAGGTGAGCAGGCCTTAACATGCCCCTTTGAGAATGCCCTCCCTCCAAAGGAAAACTCACATTCCTGCTGTGGTAGCTTAGGGAAGAGCATGCCCAGCTCTAGCCCCTACCGATGCTGTACCAGACTCTGTGTTCAGGGACTAAAGGTAAAAGTCAGGTAGGGAGAGCAAAAGGGCAGCACTCAGGAGGACTCACTTGTGGAGTGAGAGAATAAAAGATCAGTGCCTGAGCATGTGCATCAGCCACGTTGCTTTGACATTACACTGCTTGACAAGAGAAAGCTGGATGACCCCTAACTAAGGCAACATTGCCTGCAAGGAGTGGAAAGTCAGGGATCATCATGCCAGCGAGGATAAAACAGTGAGCTGCTGTGGTCAGTGCTTCTGAGCCTGCAGTTGGTGAGGGGCTAAAATAGGCTGTATTTCATGGATGTGGGTGGCCAAGATAACAAGAGCTCTGGACTGTTATCTGCCCTGATACAGCTCCAACAGCACACTCTCAGGACACCGGACTGAGTCACCCCAATATGAAGTTTTTACAGCTTTGCAGCTCGTTCTCCTTCTGGGAGGGTGTGAGGAAATGCAGGCAAGGCTTGTTGGGAGGAATGGAAATGGCCACTTGCCCACCACTCCCCTGGCAGCACACGGATTGAACTGCTGTGAATGTTCTGCCTGAGCGAAGAAACCTTTCCCGGGAGCAGCCTGATGAGCTCAGCACGGAGCTGCACGGCCAGATGGCTCCCGGGCCAGAGCTGACTCACGGCCACACAGCCCAGGCAGGCAAAACACCCCGGTACCTGCAGGAGTCACCGCAGCACTGCTGCACCCGCGCTCACAGCCAGGCAGCCCCATCGGGAGAAACCAAAGGTGTCCTGCCAACTGCCATAATTACGATGTTGCAGAACCGAAACGGTGACGGCCCGAGTTACAGGAACAAGCAGAAAAGCACCAGCCTGATGAACTCCCAACCCAGCCCCGAGAAGGCATGACCACCGAGGGAGCAGAACAGAGGCAACTCTTCCATTCTTGCAATGGCAAAAGATGGTGAGCACAAGCTGTGGATATGAAGGGAAGGGTGATGGATTCAAACAGTGCAGCAGTGGCCTCACAGAGAACTAGGGACTTGGGTATCTGCTTTTCACTAAAGCAGTGTTTATCAGCCTCTCCAACTGTTTTCCAGACTGGCTGGGCTTCTTAGTGAACTACAGATCGGGAAACAAGAGCTCTGTCCACTCTCTGCTGGGACCACCATTTTCAGAGTAGTGAATAAAGGTAAAAAAAAAAGAAAAAAAAAAAAGAAGTGAAAAGAAAGAAAGGTGAAGTGTAGCCAAAAATCCACTTAAATTGTCCAAAGCAAATGTGGGAGGGAGGCTGCACTGGCAAAGCTGTGAACTGGCAGCATTAGTGGGTGATAAACATGGCCATGTTATCTAATGTGGCAGAACACACATCATGCATTTTTAATAGCATTGTTTAGCTTCTATTTGTCACAGCATCACAGCTAGAGGCTGTTTCTAAAGCCATGGGAAATAACAGAAAGGTTATAATTGAATTGTAGGGCTTTTGACTGGAAGTCATGCACACAGAAACCCACAAAGCATTGGTATAAGATTTCCGTGTATTCCCTGTTTTCAGATCTCAAATGAAAAGCAAGTCAGCTGCAGCAGTATTTATTGAGGGTTAATCAGGTCTGCAGATTAACTGTAAGATCCCGAATTCTAGGTGCTCATATGCAAACACGAGGCACATGCAACACATGTAGCTGAGACATGAAAAATGAAGTTTATGATGGATGCAGAACACATGGATAACATTAGCTATGGAAGAAAGGGAAGGTGCATGCAGTGATGATGGATAAGGGGTTCTGTCATCTCTTCAGAGCAGGTCTTTAAGCTCTGATCACTTCTCCCTGAAATGGCAAATGCTGACTCACAAAGAAAACGTTGGTAATTATTTTTGCATTGCAATAATGTCTCCAAAACCTACTCAGAAATGAGCATCTGCTTCACTCCCAGACATGCAAAGTGTCTCCATATGGTTGGATGCCTATGGAAACCTTGAACCAGAGCTGCAGATTCTCTCCACTCTTTTCTCTCCGAGGAAAGAAACATAATCAAGCTAACAAAGAGAGCCTGGTGCCTGAGCAGGTAGAAGGCTTCAAGAGCTTTACTTTGGTACAGCTTAACACTTCACATGCACCCTGAGCTTTGTGCATACATCTCTCTGCAGGTTGGACTGGGCCCCCTGCTGTGGGTCAGTGTTTCCAGCCCCACGCTCCATGAACCTGAAGGAAGTCGGGGATGTTGCATGGGGGCTGTGTGACTACCTGGCACATCATTTCTCCAGCAGTTTCGAATCAGGAGGCCACGTCTTGGCCATTTTCTCCCAGATGGACTACAACACCCAGCAGGCTGAGCTCGGCTTGGATTACAGCCCTCCCTCCCCGGAGGTTGAAAGAGGCGAAATGTATCTTTTGGGAACGCGAATGGGAAAATGAGAGCAGCTCCCCTCCCCTGCTGTCTGGATGGCAGGTGTGCCTTTCCCCTTCGCAGGAATGAACCAAGGAAATTCTGAAGTAGAACAAAGCCCTCTCAGAGAAAAACACGTCCCCAGAGCTGCGGCGTGAGCTGAGACAGACACACTGGAGTTCAACTGGGTCTGCTGGAGAGGAAGGTGGAGGTGTCAGGCTGGCACCATAAAAAGCTGGGTAAACATGATGCCCAAGAAGAAATCGTGGAAGCAATAAACCTAATAAAATCCTGTATCAGTGTTTCCAGCAGGATTTTTATCTCCTGTCCCATTCTCTACAAGTGCTCACATGCCATGGGACCACCCCCACTTGCAAAAGCACTTACCATTCAGGGCCTCTGAGGAAAAGGGCTTCTGTTCTTAGCAGTAACTGCACTTGAATTGTTATTTATTTTCATTTTTCAAACACTGCATATACATTGGCTAATTATATCTCTTTGATGACTATTTATGTCTTTGCTTGCCTCTGCTGTTCACAGTCACGTTCTTCCCCTGGAAGTGCTTATACCAAACTTCCTGTTGGATGTGTCAAAGGCTGGCTGGATTTTGCCTAAGCTTCAAAACAGCTACATACTTGCAAAAAAGAAAACCCCTCATATGACCTTTCTTCTAACACTAGGAGGATATTCATGCAGCAGAACTCCTTGTCAGTGTGAACACAGGATGACTTTAATTTCCTAAGAGAAAATTAAAGAGAAAACTTACATCAGAATGCTCTTTGACTACAACAAACATAAGATCAAGAAAATATTGGGCAAACCAGGCTTTATTTATCACTGAAAATTAGATAGCAAGTCAGCCAATACAGTCCTCTTAAAGCCATTTAGCCGTTTGGATCATGATGCATAAACAACAGAAAACCCATTTTCTGTCCTTTTCCAAATGCAGTAATGGGGACTAAACAGTCCAGTCAAAACTAACAAAATGACACATAGTAAATGTACCCCAGCGTATGGTTATTAACAGACATTATAAGAAGCCAAAAAAAAAAACACCAGCATTTTCTTACTATTGAGGCTTCAGAGGGGATTAGCAAAGGGATTTTCTTCACACTAACCACTAAACAAAGCTGTGAGCAGACGCCACACCTCCACAGTCCTAAGGTCACCTCTTATCTGCTCAACCGCTCCCTTGCAGTTATTTTAACCTGAAGCCGTTCCAGCTCATGATTCCTTGTGGAGGGTTTCAGTCAGGTTGTGAGGGAGCGCACTGAGGGTGCAGAGGCCATGTGGGAAGTGGCCATTCCCACCTGCCACCCGGGGATTCCCAGCGGCAGCTCCAGCGCCGGAACTCCGCTCCAAACCCAGCCCCGCCACCCGCAGCCCCTGAGCGCGGCCCGGGGGTTCCTGTGGCACCCACACTCCCGTCCGGCCCGGCCCGGCCCGCGCAGGCCCGGCGGCGGCGGGAGGCGGGGCCGGCCCAGCTGACACGGGCGGCGGGCGGGGCCGCAGTGCGCGGAGCCGTCGATCGCCGCCGCAGCCCCGCGGCCGCAGCTCGCCGTGAGCGGGGGCTCCCAGGGGGGAGCGGGGACGAAGCGGGGCAAGGGGGGTGGATCGGCGGGGCGGACGGGGAGGGAGGGACAAGGCCACCGCCATGTCCGGGGGAGCGGGACGGGCGGGGGCGGGACTCGAACCGGCGGCTAGACGAGGGGTTCAGACTCGAACTGGGGCAGGCGGGACTCGCAGGCGAGTCCCCGGGGAGGGGGACTCGCGGGACCCCCGCGGCGGCCGCGCTTCCCCCCCCATCCGCCACTCCCCCCCCCGCCGCGCGCGCGGGGCCGGACGTGACTGGCCGTGTTCAATTTGTCACGCGGCCATTGGCTGGCGGGGGCGGGCGGCGTGTGACGTCAGCGCGCGGCGCGGCGCGGCCGGCGGCCATTTATAGGCGCGGAGCGGGCGCTGCGCATTCGGAGCTGAGCGAACGGCATCGAGAGCGCTCTGCGGTCGCATCGTCCCCCATCCCCGCCGGGAGCGCCCAGAAACCACCTAGGCCGCCACGAGCCACCTTCCCCGGCCGCCGCTGAGCTTTTTTTTGTTTCCGTTTGTCGCGCAGCGCCTGAGCGCCCCCCCCTTCCTCTCCCCACCTCCGCCCAGCTTTGTTCTTCTCACGGGCCCTGCGGGGAAGGCGCGGCCAAGATGGACCCTTGTCACACCGAGGAGACCGAGGGCGAGATCCCCGGCTTGGGTAAGGCCCGGCGGCGGCGGGGGGGGGAGAGGGGCCGGGAGGGAAGGACTGGGGGGGAGGGAGGGGAGGCCGGTCTCTCCCGGAGGTGCCGCGGAGGCCCCGCGATGGCGGCGGGGCCGCTGAGGGGGCTCGGCCCGGCCGCGTGCGCAGCTCAACCCCCAGCGTGCGTCGTGCGGGCGGGGCCGGGCCGGGGGGTGCTCTCCGGGGTCGCTGTCCCGCCTCCGCCGCGCCCTCCCTGCGCTGGGGGGGGGTTGGGTTGGGGGGAATTCGTGTGCGGGGGGGATTGGGGGAGGTGAGATCGTAAACGAGATAAGCGCAAATTACAGTTTATTACAGGTCTAACGTCCAGTCTTAAGTAGCGTTAAAGCCGGTGGGAACGGCCACGCGATTAAGCAGAAGTTGAAAGTAAAGGTTTTTCTGGACGCCATAACAGTCTCGTCTTAAAATGGTGAACCCGTGCCAGTTATTGCAAAACAACCCAGCTCAGCGCCTGCTATCTGTTTACTGGGTGTCAGCCATTGACAACCGCTGAGCTCCCCCGCGGGGACAAACAGCTCATAGGCAGTAGAACTTTTAAATCTTTATTAAACAGTGGAGAATACACAGGAAAAACATTATCGAAGCGCCCCATATTTGTTCGTTTTAGCTATACAGAAAACTATCAAACTCACACAAGTCAGACAAGGGAAAAAAACCCAAATGATATTTTTACGTTTTGGTCTTGCTTTAAAATAAGCTATACAGGTAATGCATTTGGTTAAAGTAAATTCTTGAACACACTGATTGTTAAGTCTAAATCTGGAACTTCAGGGACTTGTTTGAATTAATTTTCATCTTCTTAAGAAGTCAGGAAAGACTTGACCTGTCAAAACCAAAAAAGTATATAAAATATTTGATGTATTAAAAGCTGAAATACCAGGCTTTTCCCTTTGTTTGGAAACAAATAGTTTGTTACTATACAGTTTCCAAGGATGTTTTGCCCCTACATTTTTAATTCGTGGCCTGAAATGCTAGTGGCCTTTCAGAGGGGCAAGGTTAAAGGTGGCATGTCTGAGTGTAGTCTGTACAAAACTCTAAGCTGTTAATTGCTGGTTTCTATGAGGGTATAATAAGAAATACCTCCACAACTGAACATTGCACTCCCCTTCCTGGTTTATTTTGAGCTATTTAATGGGGGGGATTAGGTTTGGCTTGAAGGAGTCATTCTGCAGTAATCTCAAATTGATGACCCAGAACAAGATGGAGGAGGGTTTGGTAGAAGAGCACATCCCCATGCTTTTAAGGAGTTTTGGTTATTTATTTTTTTTTTGCCACAGCCTGGGCACACAACACACTGCTCCAGCATTTACTCCCTAAGGCTTGCCTTTCCTTGGAACTGGTAAACACCATTTTAACTCAAGTGACCTCTTTACTGCCACCTTGTTTCCTCAAATGGCTGTTTACTTTTCTTCCCAACTCTACTTGGAAGTCTCATTTCATGCATTTGGAACTCTTCAGGAAACTGAGCCCTGTGTATAACCTTTGTCAGATGTGTTGTGTGAGGGGGCAGAAAGATCTCGAAGGAGAATGATTTTTACAAGCCTCAAACAAGCATTTCATCACAAATTTTAAGCATGTAAATTGATAACTACAGAAGAAAAGCAGATACAGAGAAACAATATTTGCTACTTACCTTATCGATCAGGTACTCCTGTTTAATCTCATCATTTTTAAAATCTTCATTAACATCCAAAACTAGAATAGGAATCTCTTTAAGGTTCTCAAAATCAACTCTGTTAAATGGAAGAACATGGCATAAAGTATTGTGCATAAGACTTCAGCTCTTTAGTTGCTTTCCAAGGGTGCAGCATTAGTCAGATTACTACGTGCACCTGAGATGTTAATGCTGATGGCCATGACTTAAGTGTAAAGCCCAAGTCAAGTTTGTCCTTAATTGCTCTTGTGTAACCTAGTCAACATGGTATCACCACAACTTCCATAGATTTCACAAATCTGGGCTCTTAGTATCTATTTGTTATGTACAAGTGAGAGGAAAAGATAGTTCATTTTTTACTTTAGCTTTCTTTATCTCATTCTTTTTGTCACAGAATCAATCATCAGGAATTGATTCTGTAAGAGTGAGTACTTTTTTTTAAAGTATCACTTTCCCTGAGTCTTCCCCCACGTAATCCATTTACTAATATGCATTTTTAAAGCTCCCTTGCATGGGGATGGCCTCTTTAACAGGTTACAAGACAGATATTTAAAATGTCTTAGAGATAAGCAAGACCATCTTGGCTTCAGTTTAAGAACAGATGGGAGCAGTAGTTGTGCAACTGGATGTATTTTTCTCTTCAAGCAGTAGTTATTCTTTTAAGTGTGGAAATGGAGTAAGTGTGCTGAACAGCATTCTAACTTGTGCTTGCAGACTTCAAGTGATTCTGTGAAAAACACAGGAAATGCTTGCTTACAAGTTTGGAATGAGTACACAACATACGCATTCCCAAAATTCCCCACTATGTGCTGCCTTCTGTCTCCAAAGCATTTGGGTAATCCTACATCAAACTTAGGAAAGTAGATGTGACTGATAATGTACTTTTCCTAGAATTGTAGTGCTTCTCAGTCAGTAGAGTATTTTGGGCTCCTTTAGGGGAAAACTTGAAGTCTGCTTTCACGTTTAGAGATCCCTTAGATGGGAAAGCTGGTAAGAATAAGGAAGTTGGTGTGCAGAGATCACTCAGTTGCTGATTGGATTTCTTGTGTGTAACAGTGTCTGCCAAAAGCCTTTCTGATTAAATATTAATCCTGGCTTCAAAATAAACTAAACTTTGTTGAAATATAGTCCTGCAAGTTTAAAGGTAGTTGGGACCTTGCCCCCCCATGCACTGGAACACAAAGCTGCTTAGTAAGTGACTTCTGTGATTGGCCATTGAACACTTATTTTATCTGCCCTATTCCTGTGCCCTTTCAATTAGCAAAATCCATATCCTTGCTGGAGTTACAGCTATAAAGCTTCCTAGTTGGAGCTAATGCTTAACAAAGGTTTCAAATTAGATGAAGTGTTCCATCTTTGAAAACTGAGAAGTGGGTCTAAAAATAAATCCTTTCATGCGTGCCTGAGTGAAGCTAGACTTAAACTTTGGTTTTATCAACTTTAGTATAAAGCTGGAAGAACCTTGCCTGCAAGTTGAAACTTGCTACAGAAAATGGGTTCCTACCTCATAGTCCTTTCATGGAGCCAGGTTTCGTGTTTATAGTGGAGGTTTTCCAAATACTCAAGCTCAATTCCTTGTTCCTCTTCTCTTCCCCTCATCTGTAGCCTTTCCATGCATTTCTGGAAAATGAAAAAGAAGTATAAATGTGGTCATTAATCATGTGTTGTAGGTTAAATCAGCTCAAAGGATCAAGTGGTCCTTAACTCAGGAGGACTAATGCTGGACATTAGTGAGCATTAATTTTAAATGCTTGGCTGAACATAAACAAGTTAAGTCTGTAATAACTTTTTTGTACCCTCTTAAGCCCCTGGAAAATGAAGTTGGAACTGAAAAACTTTCACCTTCAGTGAGCATACCTGGGGTGTGGTTCTGAGGTAGATCATGCCATCCAGTTCTATATCTGATTGAAACTGATTCAAGAGCCATGTGTGCCAGTCCTGATAAATAGACCACTCTGTTTCATTAATGTTCCCAGACTCAAACAGGTTAGAAGCAAATACATATCTGCAATGAAAGACATCAGTCTCATGCCAGGAATGACAAAAATGAACTACCAAAACACTTGTCACTAGAACAGAAATCATGGTACTGAAAAAATGTCTGCCCTTAATCAAGCCTGCTCCCTGCAGGTATTATTTTAATATCAAGTGTTCTCCAGCTCTATGTCTTTAAAGACCTGGAGCTATTAATGTGAGTTCTTGCTGTGCTATGAGAATAATTACCTGTCACTGTACACAGATCTCTCAAAAAATTGCACTGGATGTTCTGCTTCCTGTAGCTTTGCTGAGACTGGTTTTAACTGTGCTCTTACTCGGCTCAAGCAAGCATAAGTCTGAAAGGTGTAAGCCCATCTTGTGGGTTTGTCGTACAGCATTTGAAGCAGATTTCCTCCGCTCTTCTGAGACGTTGAAAGTTCCTAGAAGGCAAGAGAAAAAAATTCAGTACCAGCATATTTGCAGGATTTTTATTCCCTTTTCTCAATCTGGAATTCTGGTTTGTTAAAGTGAGAATTCATACACTTGTGTTTTTTGTGTGTAGGGTAGTGGTTTTTTTTTTTTTTTTTTTTTGTAAGGAAAATGCTTAGGCATAGGATCAGACTTTTTTGTCAGGTGATTGTAGTAGTCATAACTGCTTCTTTAAGTAGGTTGTTTGTCGAGTTCCACATTTTAGTGTGATTCTGTGGAGTAGGGATATGATTTGGAATATACATTCAGTAGTATCTTGCCTTAACATTTCTGAGTGCCTGACCACCTGGTGTGATAGTGGGGACGACTCTGGCTACTGCAGACTAAGTACGGTTGGATTTGGCCAGAGCTCCCTCATCACAGAATTCCTTGCAGTTTGGTTGTCCTGACCCACATCCCGCACACCTACCTGATACTCATCCTCGGTTGTCTGGACATTGCACCACTTGGCGATGGGCTCGGGAATGATCTCCCACTCATCGCTGTGCTTCTCCAGCAGGCTCACAAACGTTGACTTCCCTGCAGCTGCAGGAGATATGAGAAGTTCACTGGGGGTTGATTAGAGCGGTGGTAGGTGACGGGTACAGGTGCAGCGGTGAGGTTTGTGAGGGGCAGTCGGTGCGGCATTCGGGGCGCGGGGCTCCCGGGGCGAAAACAGCGCTAATCTGCGGCACCAGAAGGGCCGCGCCCGGGCCAGGCGGGCGATAAGACACCGAGCCGACATTTTAGGAGTTTGGCGGCGGGCGGAGCTCGGCGCGGCCGGCGGGGGGAGCGCGGGAGCGGCCGCGCAGGCGCCGGGAATTGGCGCGGGCGGGAGCGAACGGGCAGCGCATCGCGGCGCAGCTCATCTCCACAGTCTCCCTGCGCCTCGGGGGCACCGACGGGCACCCGGCCGTGGCGGTGGTTTCCCGACGTGGTCCCGACCCCGTTCTCCCTGCAGAGCCCCTCGCTGCCCGCAGAGCCGGGCGGACAAGCCCCGCATTGCCCTCTCCCCTCCTCCTCCGCCATCCCAGCCCCTCGGCGCGCTCCTGTGCTGACCCCCCGGCCGGCCCCTATCCCGCGCCGCCGAGCTCACCGATGTTCCCCTCGATGGAAACTTTCCTGAGGCGCTTCTGGAAGCTGGAGTCGAGGGAGCCGGCCGGGCTCTGGCGGTGCCGCTTGGCGGGGGTGGACATGGCTTTTCGGAGCGGGAGCCCAGGGGGTTACTAGCAGCTCCCGCGCAGTTTTAAGTATCCCGCCCGCCGGTGGGCGGGATGGCCGCTCCCCGGGAAGAGGCGGAGGCGCTGCCCCCTCCCGCCGCCCCTTGTACCCCGCTCCTGCCGCCGCGGGATTCCGAAATGGGCGTTTGGCGGCTGAAATGGGGCAGGGCAGCTTTGTGCGGGAAGTGACTAACGCGGTTCCACTCACTGAGCAGATTTGCATTAGTGCAAACGACTGCGCCGTGTGCTCGATTTACAGAAGTATCCTGAGTATGCGGGGGTTTTTTGTTTTGGTTTGGTTTTTTTCACTTTTCAAAATTTTCCTCCAGCTGTGGCAGTTCGGTAGTTGTTAGTGGTCCAGATCGGTGTTTTTAAAGTAAATACCTCAAGGACTTACATGAGAGATGAGGCTGTGTAGGTTTGCAGTCCTTTTTGGTACTGACTGGAGAAGAAATATGCATGGATGAATGATGTTCATCCAGAGGCAGCTCTGAGCAGCTTCTGGGCTCCAAATAACCCGTGTCAGGGGCTTTATGGAGCCTGCTCACCTCTGGGCACGGGCCCCCTACTCCCCTGCGTGGGCAAGTTGAAACATGAGCTGCTTGTTCTTTCCAGTGGAAGGAGAGGGCATGGAGGATTCTTAGATGGTGAGTTACTCCTGTAACTCCTGCCTCTAACTATGAGATTCAGGGTGAAATCTAGCCAGGTCTGGTGTGTTTGGAGGAGACGGGAGGGAGTAAACTTTTCCTTTCTTTTATGATAATTGTGACCCATTGTCTCTTCTCTCCCCATCTCCTCCAAACACACCAGGCTTCAGTGACCGAAGCGAGCAGATTGTTTCACGTGGGGTAGCGTCAGCATTTGAAGCTGGTAAGTGCTAGTTCCCACACACCTCTCTGTGCAGCCAGAGCCCCCTCGCTGTCGGTGCGGGCCGAGTGTCGGCACCGGGACCGGCCCGGGCGGGCGGTGTGAGGGTGAGGGGAGGGCTGAGGGCGTGCGGGGCATGCGCAGAGCGGCGCTCGGGGCACGCGGGGCCGGGGCTTTGTTCGGCGCGCGGGCGGGCGGGCGGCGCGTGCGCACAGGCGCGGACAGGCGGCGGCGCGCGCGGGGTGTCCCGGGGGCGGGGCCGGGCCCAGCGCGCACGCGCACGATCCGGCCACGCTGCAGCCGCTCCTCCCGTGAGCGTGACTGGCGCGAGGCTCTCGGTACCCTGTGCTCTGTGCCCGCTCCACGCACGCGCACACACGTCGCTCTCCCCGAACCCGCCGCGGGCGCTGCGCCATCGCCGGGGGCCCGCGGGCCCGCCAGGGCGGCGTCCGGGCCCGCACTCTTTGTGCGGCGGAAGGCCCGGCCCAGCGGAAGCGGGAGCACCCGCCGCCATTTCCTAGCGCGCTCTCGCCACAGGCTCGCCCGCTCGCTGCCGCCTGACCGGGACTAGGCGCTCTCCGGACAGCGGATCAGGCTCGGAGCCCTAGAACCAGCGCGGAGCCCCACCATGTGTGCGTGCGGGGAAGGGGCAGGGCGCGGGCCGGGGGCGGGAGCGGCGCCGTGAGAGTGAGGCGGCAGCACCCGAGGCAGAGGAGGCTCGGGGAGGGCCAGGGCACAGGCCAGGGGGGCCGCCGGGCGCTCTGAGGGGGTGCGGGTGGCGGCCGTGCTGAGCACGAGTCTCAAAGGGCCCGTTCTGGTCTTCTCCAGCAACCACAGAAGCCGAGACAGAGCAGAGCCTCACCCCCAATGTGATGCTCAACACGGAGAGCAGCGAGGGATACGTGGTGAAAGTCCGGGGGCTGCCTTGGTCCTGCTCCACCGAGGAGGTGCAGAGGTTCTTCTCTGGTAAGTGGGACCGGGGAGGATGGGGGTGTCAGAGAGGGGCCGGGCTCTGTTGTCTGGATCCTGCATCCCTCCCGGGGACTCTGTGCCGGTGGGAACGCTGCAGGGAGCAGCAGCAGGAATCATTCAGGAGCCAATGAAGTTTGTAATGCAACAAGTACTTCAGGCAGGGCCCGGTATGCAAAGCCGTGCTTGTGTGAGCAGGAACTCCACACAAAGGGGCTTAGTCTGCACGTTGCTGGGATGGCCACAGTTGGCTTAGCTGCTTGAGCAACCAGGAAAGAGAAGCTTCAATTTTAAAGAAAACTTCAAAATTCTTGCTTGAGATTAAACTAAATCAGTTTAATTCTCTGTGTTGTCCTAACAGGCTCTCTTGTGTTCACCGTGTGTGTCCTTGCCCCGAATTAGTAGCATTCTGCAGTAATGAATTGTAGTGAGAAACACATGCTTTCTGCGGTGGCTGTGGATTTTAAAGCTGCTTCAGGAATTTGATGAATTGGACTTGGTTCTGCTTTAGTTTATTACACTTGCACTGATTGCTATTATTGCTTATTTGTTTTAAGCTGATGAGAAAGTTAAGATCAAAAGCAGATAGTGCATTTAACTTGAGGCAGAGAAGCCTTGAAAATGGATAGATAATTTGTAGTTGCCAATCTGTAGGTTTGACTAGAAGAGTAACTTAATTTTAGTTAGTCTCTTTGGTCCTTGTAAGGTTGTAACAAGAATACTGCTGGTTTTGTGGTTTTGTCATCTTGGTACAACTTGATAGTTGTTGCTACATTTTTCTCTTTAGAATATATGCAACTTGTAAAGTCACAATGTTCCTGTTATAACTAAATTAATTCTGACCTTTCTATTTTGTTTTCAGATTGCAAAATTCTGAACGGGGCTCTGGGTATCCGTTTCATCTACACCAGGGAGGGCAGGCCAAGTGGAGAAGCATTTGCTGAACTTGAATCAGAGGAGGATGTGAAATTGGCCCTGAAAAAAGACAGAGAAACAATGGGACACAGATACGTTGAAGGTTTGACTCAGTTGGTCTAGTAACTGACTTACATGTGTTTGTGCTTGATGGGTTTTTGGTTGATCGTTTCTTTATCTCTTTAAAATGCATGTGGAAGGACAAATGGACTTGTATATCATAAGTTGACTAGTTTCAAGGCAAATGACTTTTAAAACCGTTGCTTTTTCCAGAATGCATTAATTCTAAGTGCCTTTTACAGTTTTCAAGTCAAACAACGTTGAAATGGATTGGGTTCTGAAGCATACTGGTCCCAACAGCCCTGATACAGCTAATGATGGTTTTGTACGTCTTAGAGGACTCCCATTTGGCTGTAGTAAAGAAGAAATTGTACAGTTTTTTTCAGGTATGTGGGATAAAAGTAGTAGCTATAGCACTATTGGTTTATGCTAAAAAAAAAACCCCGACAAACCAAAGAAACGTGGATTGCCCTGTAGTCCTTCCAACAGTATTTATGGGTATTAAAACTAGATAAACCAATTTTTTATTAGTTATATGTGCTTGAGGGATCCATTGGATCAATTCCTGAAGTACCTGATCATAATTTAGGGAATGCCAAAGAGCTACTGGAATATATACTTAGTGGGACATATTGTTCCATGTAAGCATTGCAGAAAACAAGTGTCTTGCCTTCCGAATTAAAGTGAACAATTCAGGTGAGAGGATATTTCCACCCCCAGTCTCTGCTGCTTTACCCTGTCAGTGAAGGATGTACAACACCCCCACCTCCGGACTCTGTGTGAGGAGCAGGATCTGAGAAAGGGCAGGCATTGAGCCCATGGCTTCTTCCAAGCATAGATTTAGTACTGAATGAAATTCCAGAGAAAAACAACCTGTTGAACTCTACCCAAGTACAGATTTGCCCCCTTCTCTTTCTATGGGGAAAGAAAGAAACCCTTGATGTTGCCTAGCTCAAAGTTTTTGTGGATGAAGAGATAATGTCTTATTTTGACTAATTTTTTACTTTTTTTGCAGCTACCGTATGTTTTAGAAACTGGAATTACAAACTATTAAAAATGCCTAAGAATAAAAGCTATTGATTTCTTTAGGATTTCATTTTGATAGTATTTTCAAAATAGTAGATTTCTAAATGTTTTGCTATAACAAGATATAATTGAACTTAGTGTTTTGCTTTAAAATACAGTAGAAATATTTCCAATTTTACAACTTCAGGACTTGTTTTTTGTTTTCTGAATCGGTGATATGAACAAGCAATTTCTAAGCATGTACATTTTAAGCTGTTTTTTTCTTACTTGGTGAAGTAATTCAAGCTTTAAAAACTGTTAATGCTTAATATACAAAATGTGCCTCTTCTGTTCAGGAACTAATACTTTAAAATTACTTCATGATTTTTTTCTTAATTAAGCACTCCTAAAGATAAAAAAAATCAATGCTGAAACTTGATGTTTGCATAAGACTAATTATTTTATTTGAGTGACTTCTAGTAAAATTACCTGTTCTATATAAAGCTGTTTAATTTGCTGTGTTTGAATTTAAGTTCTCTTAAAAAGTTCATCTTAAATACTTTCACAGAATTGAAGAGGTTTGTAATAATATGTGAGGTTCTTAATGCACCCTGCATTAGATGCTTTCTCTGAGGAGTTGTTCCTGACTCTCAGAGCATTTCTGTGCTCTGCAGGGTGGGTTAAGAACCTGAACTGAATGGTATGTGATCGTGGAGCTCTTTGTTGACGTGCCTTTTTTTCTTCTGGTGTTCTAGAATCAACATACCATTCACTTAAAAGTGTTTAAATTCTGGTGTTTTTAAAGCTATAAGAAAAAACTCATGACTGGGCTTGTGATGTTAATATTGCCCCCCTACTGGGGTTATTTGTCCTTGGGTTGAAGGGTTGGAAATCGTGCCAAATGGGATAACATTGCCGGTGGACTTCCAGGGGAGGAGTACGGGGGAGGCCTTCGTGCAGTTTGCTTCACAGGAAATAGCTGAAAAGGCTCTAAAGAAACACAAGGAAAGAATAGGGCACAGGTGGGGATGGATGGTTGGTTGGCTCTGTCACTTTTCTTATGGTAAACAATTAAATCCATATTCTCTCTTCTGAAAGTGTTGACATCCAAATCAAAACAGCGTTTTGGTCCCTAACTCAGTGATGAGTGAAGCCATTGATTGCTATGTCTGTGGCACAGACTGTTTGGATCTACCCAAAACGTGCAAGATAAAATTGGGCTAAACTAAATTGTGCTTTGAAACCTGAGTAATAACAGGAGTGCAAAACTGATAGCTTGGAAGTGACAAAGTTGAGAGACTATGGCTTTAACTTCTCAAATAGCACCAATTCTGCCTTTAGCTCTAAAGACATGCACAGTACTCTTACTACCATAAGAAAATGTGATACTTTCTAAACTTGTTTTATAAGTTGAAATGTAACAAATTTACTTACTGTATTAATCTTCAATGTAATAAGCATAGCTTTCAAGAAATTGTCACAAAGGGTTTTTATTCTATTTTACTTGTGACTATTTTTCATTGAAGCATGCACCTTTTGCCTACGCTGAATCACTGAAGCATAGGCTGGGTTCACTAGTACGTGCAGAGCTTTTTGTGGCATCCTGATGGGTTAAACTCTTGGTGGAGACCAGGTTTTTAACCCTCTGTTTCCATTGCCTCAAGCAAAATGGTGCTGAGTTGAGTGGACGCCAGTCCCTCCTACGTTTTTTGACTAACACCTTAAATTGGGGGGAGGTGGGTGGGGAATCAGTATTGCTCCCCCACCCTTAAGGCTGGGATACTGCCAAGTATGAGGAGCACATAAACCCTTCAGTAATTTTAATTTCTTGAAAATACACTGATTTGATTGTAATGTAGCGTAAAATAGAATGTCATTGCCTACATAATGTAAGGAAACCTGGCTTAAAATTACCGCCAGTGTCAAGGCTATGACTAAATGGCTTGTTGTAATGTGAAGTTGTGAGGTGTTTGTGGAAGGAATCAAAGACTGACTTGTTCCTGTGGAAACACTCGTAGGTACATTGAGATCTTCAAGAGTAGCCGAGCAGAAGTGCGCACTCACTACGACCCTCCTCGCAAGCTGTTGGCAATGCAGAGGCCTGGTCCGTACGACAGGCCCGGTCTTACGCGCGGATACAACAGCCTGGGTAGAGGAAGTAGCTTGGAGAGAATGAGGCGTGGAGCCTACGGAGGAGGTAAGTGCACAGAGTCCGAGGGAGCTGCTCGTATGAAAAGCAGCAACACTTGGACCTGGTAGTGTCTTCCCTGCTTTGTAACTGCTGGTTTGTATGTGTCCTTGGCTTTAGTTCTTGTAGAAGAAATGAAACTTTGTAAGCTGTTGTTTGCAGTGTGTACGTGTGTATTTGGATCTTTCTGTAGTCGAAATGAACGTTTATTTGGATCTTTGTGTAGTTGAAATGAACATGTCCAATCTGTTTCTAGGTTATGGAGGTTATGATGACTACAATGGGTATAATGATGGCTATGGGTTTGGTTCTGATAGATTTGGAAGAGGTAAGAGATCTCTAATAGGAACAGTAACTGAACTTACGACATGTGTCAAAAGAAACTAAAATACATCTGAAAGACCTAGAATGGACTCTTTTCTCTGCAGGGATGTCGGACCACAGGTACGGCGACGGATCGTCCACCTTCCAGAGCACCACTGGCCACTGCGTCCACATGCGAGGTCTGCCCTACAGAGCCACGGAGAACGACATCTACAACGTGAGTCCCAAATGCTGCTCCCTTCCCTTCCTTTGTGCATGCCTTCGGGTCCTGTGGTCCTCGTTGGACATGCCAACTGCACTGCAGCTGGAGAGTGTTCCTTTGGAGAACAGGGCTGCTTGTAAACCCCAGCTGTTGCATCGGTGCGTTTTAATCTGTGTGACTGTTCTGTGTGTAGTTCTTCTCACCTCTGAACCCTGTAAGAGTACACATTGAAATTGGACCAGATGGCAGAGTAACTGGAGAGGCAGACGTTGAATTTGCTACTCACGAGGATGCAGTGGCTGCTATGTCCAAAGACAAAGCAAATATGCGTAAGTCTGGCTGCTTGGAATAGGTGGATTTAGGGAAATGACAGCAGTGCAGCTGTAGGGCGTGTGCTGTCACTGGAATGCCAAAGATTTTACTGCAGCTTCACTTGCAGTGAGACAAGCTGCATGGTCTCATGGCAAAACTTTCTTCTTTCAGAACACAGATACGTAGAACTCTTCCTGAATTCTACAGCAGGAGGAACTGGTGGTGCCTACGGCAGTCAGATGATGGGAGCAATGGGTATGTGTGACGATCTCGCTGCACTTTTAAACAGGTGCTTGCTATTGAAGGAAGCTGGCGCATTTTGTGCAGCTCCTGCTTATTCTGTGCCTGGATCAAAACTGAAATTCAACATTCTGTCTTAATCACACAGTCAAGGAATCGGAAGGGGTAGTCCAAGATTGGAACACTAGCACACTGGCAGGTATGTAAACCTTTTGGGAATATATTTGACAATTATTAGGTTAAATAAAATGTGGTGTGGTGTGGCTGGTGGGATGAGTGGCTTCTGGGAATGTGGGTGGTGCAAAAGTGGAAGCTTCCTCCTGTCCTTTTATTCTCTTTCCACCTCCCTTCTTGGGACATAGTCTGGTGATGGAGGATGTATCTGTGGCACGTGACCTGCCACTCAAGCTTGTTCTTGGTGGTGAGGGAGAAATGTATTTGGAATTGGGGAGAAACTGTCTGAATTGCTCTATCAAACCCCAAAATTGTTTAAAAATCTAAAATGTCTGTTAGTAACACAAGTCTATTGCTGTTGTGTCTATAAGGCAGATACCCTCTTGACACCCAGCTGGGCTGGTTTCTTAGAGGTGAAGGTGGGGTTGGTTTCTGGGGGGGCTCCTTTCTCGAGGGTGTGGGGGTGTGGGTACACTGCTGCTGTTGTAGTACTCTGATCACAAAATGTTTGAAGTCTAATATTGATACTTGAACTACAGAAGAGCTTTGTAGGGGTGATTTACAAACGATGAGGTGAAGAGCAGTTGTTAGTGAGCTTAAGTGAGCCACAGCAGTGCTGTGGTGCACAACCAGTGTGGAGCAGGAATAAGTCTGTTGGGACCATATACGAACTCCAGTTAATGAGCTGGTGCTCTTCTGGACAGGCAGCAGCAGTCCTGTGTGAGGTCACTTAAAGCCAAGCTTAAGTCTTTTGGGGTGTCTTGTGTATAATGCAGACCAATAGAACACCACACTGTTCTGTACAGTCCAGAGAAACTTCAAAAGTAAAAGCAATTTTTGAAGTCCTGTTTGACTGGAGGGGTGTCTTTAGAAACTCAGTCACTTTCCTTGAGTTTGTTACCTTGTATACTTAAGTTCCCTGGGTGTGAGAGAGGCTGTGGCAGAATGCTGGGGCTGTTGGGTGAGGGATGGGTTTGTTGATGATGAGCAGACTTTGACAGCCAAGTTCTTAACGTTTTTATCCTTGACTTGGAAGGAAGCCAATCCAGTTATGGTGCTCCAGGCAGCCAGCAGCTGAGTGGGGGTTATGGAGGAGGATATGGAGGTCAAAGCAGCATGAGTGGCTATGGTAAGAGCATTTCTTTGCTGGTTTCAGGTGGGCTGGGTGCTGCTGGCTGAACATGCCCTTCACTGGTGTTGAAGGGTTGTGCTACAGCCTGGGCAGCACAAGCCCTGGAAGACGTGGCTGTTGTGAATGTTAAAAATTATGGATAACTGGGGGGGGAATCTATTCAAAAGAGAAATGGGAAGGTGAGGGAGGAAATGTGGAAACTTACTCTGAAAGGAGTAGGAAATGCCAGTCTCCAGACTTGCATTGCTCTGATCACTTCCTTTCTTAGTCTAAAAGCTGGAGACCAGCTTTGTTTCAACACAGTACAAACGGGGGGGGGGGAGGGGATGTGGGAGGCTGGGTCCTCCCCATGCCCCCAGAGCGGTGCTAAAGCTCTGGATTGGGAAGGGGGTGATGCAGAGCTCATGCTGTCATTGAACAACCGGTGACTGACTTTGGGTACGGAGCTGTAAACTGACACTTTGCAGCGTTGGGCACGGTAGACGGTATTTACGAGGTGGCCCAGCAAGGACAGGCGTTGGGGCAAGGATGCTTCGAGTCGGCCTGAGGCAGCTGTGAACCTGCTGTCGGTTTCCCCCTCAGACCCCGGGAGCCAGGGCGCCATGAACAGCAGCTACTACAGCAGTGGGAACCGCGCATCCATGGGAGTGAACGGCATGGGCGGCATGTCCAACATGTCCAACATGAGTGGTGGCTGGGGAATGTAACCAATCGCTGACTTTTGGTCGCATCTTTTTTAAAAAACAAAAAAACAAAAAACTAAGTTTAACAGTTTTGCAATACGAGCTTGTGATTTATGCTTTACTGTAAGTGAATTCAGGATTGTTTTAAAACCCTTCAGGTTCAGTATTTTTGAACATACAGAAATGAACATTCATCTAGGATGTAATAACCAAGTAAAGACTTTAACTGTTAAATGATTTGGAGCGTTTCTCAAGTTAGTTTTGTTGTAGGAGTGTATTTAAGCAGTAAGCGTATTTAGGTTAAAGCTGTTTGAATTATGTTAAATGTTGCTCTTATACCATATTACATCCGACACTGTTTTGAATACATGTTGAAAGAGACATGCTTTTTTGTAAAGAACCAATATAGAAGCTGTGTCTGAAAATCAAAGTGAACATTTGGCATGTTAGTTCTAGTTTATTTCTTTTAATATCCTGTAAGGCATGTTAAAGCTTTTTTTTTTTTTTTTTTAAGTTAATGGGGGAAACATGTTGAGACGCAATACGGCTACTTTAGGATTTTGGTCTTGGTGTTCGTATAAAATTCTGAGGCCTTGATTTAATCTTTCATTGTATTGTGATTTCCTTTTTAGGTGTATTGCGCTAAGTGAAACTTGTTAAATAAATCTTCCTTTTAAAAACTGGAACTCACTCCTTTTTGACCTCCAGCTTCTTGTAACTACACTTGCATCTGTGTCCTGTGTGACTGTAGTGCTCTTGCCATGCAGCTGCCCTGAGCAGCCACTCCTCTTGCTGAGCGCTGGCCTTTAGTGTTACAGTGACAACTGGGGGTAGCAAAGGAGGCCACCCCGCTGCTGGGGGCACCCAGTGTGTGTTGGGTCAAAGTGCTGCACGGCTGTGCCCTGAGCAGGGGCTCTGGGCCCTAAAGCTGCTGGGGGTGGGGTGAGAGGTGATTCTGTACTTTCTTGTAGGCATCAGTGGACTCAGCAGCTTCTGCAACCATGTTTCAATAAATGCAACTTGTAAAACATCCTGCTTAAAGATGTGGTTTTGTAACTTAGTTACAGATTTTGAGCACTGCAACTTTCCCTGAAATAATACAGCATCTGCTTCCCTGCCTTTGCTGTAGTACCTGTGCTTGCCCTTAGTAATGAACCCTTTGTCCTAAAGGGTTACAAACCTGAGGTCCCTTTCTACAGTGAAGAAGATACTTCTTCTCCAGGGGGAGCTGTAAAGGTTGACTCCTGAGCACTGTGTGCTGCAGCCACAGCTGTGTCTGCTGTGGTAAAACCCTGCTTCCTGAGGGGGGATGGCTGAGGTCAGAACTGGCAGCTGGAGCCCAGCTCAGTGGGCTCTGCTGAGCCTCTGGCAGAGCTGGGGGATCACACCTGGGTTTGCACTGTTCTACATGGAGCCTCAAGGAGCTCTTCTGGAACCTGTGGCTCTCACGACATTCCTGGTGGAGGGTGCACATCTCCACGAGGGTGCTGTTGGGGACAGTGGTGCCTTCACCCTGTAGTTCCTGGGGTGAGGCAACAGCCCAGTGTGCTGGTGCTCCATAACACAAACTGCTCTGGGACCCGGCTGCAGCTGTGCCCAGGCCTGACAGAATGAACACCCCTGGGCTGGGGCAGAGCTGCCCTGCTGTGTCACAAGGGTGGGCACATCGAGCTGGAGTCACTGCCCCCTTTCTTCCAGGGAAGGGGGTGGAAGCTGCTGCAGAGCAGGGGCTTCATCTCGCACCTTCTAGAATACCACAGTGTCGGTCAGGTATCCCAGACTCGTTCTGGAGTCTTTAGCTTAAGCCCTGGATGTGCATGGCTGGATAAGAACATTCTCTTCTGGCATCTGTGACCAACAGCTGTTTAAAATCAGAACGTCTCTTGCTTTCAGTTTTTGCAAAAGGCTTTATTGTGTAACTACCACACCGTGGTCACAGCGACTTCCAGAACAAGTACAATGTGCAGGTTTTGACTCCGCAGTGAACTGAAGGCACATTCATCGACACTCCCCATAAAGCTCTTTCTATAGACAATTCATAAACTGACCTTTTCCTCTCTGACTTAGAGCAAATACAAAACTGTACATGAGCCAGGAGACACACAGGAGCACCTACAGTGAAGGTACAGAGGAACTGAAGTTCATGTGCAGAGACAGGGACGTCTACAGGGATGAAATAAATGTAGAAATGCCATATACAAATTTTAATACAAATACCTATAAAAATCAGAAAAGTGATTTTAGTTTCAAATAGAACTTTAAGGGAAATTACAGTCGATATAAGTTTCTTAATTATTCCAGTTGGGAGAAGCATTAGCTTGCAGAGTTCCTACAAATTATTTTACACTGCTCTGTCCCACAGAGGAAATTATCAGAGACCAGCCAGTCTGCTGCACAGAGGACACTTGCAATTCAGAATTAAAAAAATAATGGCTACTTTCCAATGTTAAAGCGCTTCTGTCAAGGGTGGGAGGGCCTTAGGAGGAGTTGGAGGAACACCGCTGGAGCAGCAACGTGTGACAGGTGTCGCAGACACGGACGGGTTTAGGGTACGACGGCAGCGCGAGTTCGTTACTGGAACAAGTGTTGCAGAAGATGTCCCCACAGTTCCTGCAGTGGTGCTGCAAACAGAGTCAGAGTGAGCACAGCTGCCTAAAAGCAGCACCAGGAAGAGAGAAGTCAGACCTCGGGAAGGGTTTCTGAGGACACTGACATCCCCCTTCACTCCCCACCAGGCCCAGCCCTCCCGGCAGCACTTCCTCCTGTGCAGGGCCCAACACCGGGCACGATCCTGCGCAGCCGATCCCGGCGCAGCCGCCCGCCCTCCACAGCCGGGTACTGGGCTCGCCCTGGCTCGGGGCGGAGCGGGAGCGGGAGCAGGCCCGGGCCTGGACTGATGGAGCTCTCTCCAGATCACCCCTCCCGCAGCCAGGCCTTGCTCTCCGGCCGGCTCTACAGGGAGGAGATCCGGCCCCTGGGCTGCCGCGTGCCCCGCGCGCTGTCCCAAAGCACGGCCCAGGACCCCGCAGCACCCCCTGCTCAGCCGGGAGGGGAGACTGAACACAGCCCACAGCAGCTCTCACCAAGGAGAGCACGCAAAAGCAGGAGGAAACATTATGTTTAGGATGGGAAATGCCAAATTAATCCCTGTGTAGCTATCATGCCAACAAAATCTGGAATTGAAGCAGAGTCAGTCTTCCCTTGCAAACTAGGCAACAGCACCGTTTTTGTTTGCCACAGATTGTTTAAAAATAATCCACCGAGCAACATTACCTTCCTTCTTGAGATGGAGAATTCCTTTTCACATTGCTTGCAGTGTGTTGCTTCATCATCCTTCAGCCAAGTATGACCCTGGAAAATTTGAATGAAAACCACACTGGAGATACAAATAAACTTACAAAACAAAATTCAAAGGCATTTTAACAATGTTGTTGGTATTTTTCAAAAGCCACCTTTTAGAGCAGAATAACTGTGGTGAAATTTAAAGGTGTTAAATGAAATTTGTATGTACAGTCAAAATACCCATGAGATGTAGAGTACCTTTAGTGCTTTATTGACTTCTTTAATGTCTTCCATCTTCAACTTTGATCTGGAAAAAAAAATATGCCCTCTGCATGACTTTATATTTAGTTGTGTTTGGTTTTCCCTCCCATTCCATTGTCCAGCCACTGAATCTACACCTCAATTCTCAATTCTTCAGCCAGCCCCCCATTATGCCTCTGAACCACTCACTATCACCAGGAAACTTTGTCACCTTGGAAACTTTGTCACCCCTTTTCAGTATAACCAGGAGAATGTGGGAAAAGCACAGTTCCACTGTAAGAACTAAACATTTCCTGCAGTGTTTCATCTCTCAGCCAGCTCACTCTTACAAGGATCTCATTTTTATTTCATGGCTCTTTAGTTTCCCATGCCTAGTAACTACCTCCTAAAATTCTTACATCAATTGATTTTTGTAACTGGATGAGGTTTAAAATTCTTGGTATTAGTTTGATACTCCAGGTTATGTCACTTACAGGAGTTCAGTTCCTAGAACTTACTGGCTGAGATGAAGTCCCATTTCCTGAAGAGCTTGTTCCTGTTCCTCACAGACTTTCTCCAACTGCTGCTTCTCGTCTTGCAGTTTTCTCAGTTCCTATAAAATCAAGCATGAAATCAACGTTTTTGTTCACTGTTTGACCAATAACCTTGATCAGTCTACCCAAACTACCCAAGCAGTTCACAAGAATCAGCTTCTTTACAAACTTATTTCTGAAGCTTGATGTTTAGAATTACATGGCTGAGCTACCCATTGGTTCTGCACAAATGATGAAATCATTTAACCGTATTTACCAGAAAGAGGAAGATTTTCAGGCTTTGAACATTGTTGAGCAGAGCTAGAACATATCAGTCCTGTGCCCACCCATGAGCACACAGACAGATACAGATGTGCAATTGTGCCCTCAGAATCTAAACTGCTCCATACACAGGAGCAAATCTTCTTCAGGTTAACAAGAATGTTCATGCTTAAAAAATAAATCACATTCAGTTGTTCTGAACACTTGAAGCTTGTGCATACCTTTTTCAGTCCTTCCATCTGTTGCAATTCTGTTTTAAGCAGAGTGGTTGCATCTTTCTCTTGGTGCAGTTCTTTTTGCAAAGTTTGCCTCTGTTCCTTTTCAGATTTTAACTCCTTTTCCAGAGTTGAGCTATTGAAAAATAATTCATTCTAAAAAACCCTATAGCAGAAAAATATTCCATAGAACTTAAGGATAGCAACAGTATGAGGAGAAGAAATCTTGCCCAAAAGAGGGTAAAACTAGAGTGGTGTTCTGGGAAAGGAAAGAATGGGCAGCAGATATCAAACTGTAATGACAACAGACATCAAAAACTATATTAACATCTTCAGGTCACAGGAAACAAGCAGCAATGAACAGCTAGAAGAAAAACAAACAACTAAAAGGTCCAACCCCCCCCAAACCCAATCCCCACAAGTACATATTTCACTACCTACGTTTAAACTGTTTAAAAGGGACACTCTACCCTGACGTCTGAACAGTGAAAGAAATATTTTCTGTTGGTATTAGAAATCTTCAGAGGATTAACATTCCCTAAGAACAAGCCCCCAACCCCCCTTTAAAAACCCCAATCCCTTTGGATGACAGTCACTTCTCTGCTCAGCCTGCAAGTGTGACCATACCTATCTCCTGATTTATTAAAAAAGCAATTGAAAGCTTCATTGCTGGTTGGAATGGCCAGATTTCTGCTGGCACTCTGTGATCTCAATTGGATATTCTGGAAAAAAACATGTGAAAATCCTCATGCTCACTGTGCACTGCACAGAAATGCTGTGCTTCCCTAGATCCTGCCTACTTCTGTCAATGCTCAGGCCAAGACAATTCGAACCTACCCCTCCTTAGACCCGAGCACGAAAGGAGTAGAAAGTACTTCTGAGAGGAATGGCAAAGGGGAAGGAAAAAAAATTCCATCAGATTAAATACCATTTGCTGTCCAGCTGGGACATCTGCTGTCGACATGTGTCCAGCTTGCCAGCAAGCTCCTGCTTCATCTTGGTGCACCGTTCCTCGGCAGCCTGCCTTGCCTTCTCTGCCTGCTGCAGCCTACGAGGCAAGGAACACGTGCATTTGTTGTCAATTCACTCCTTAACTACACCCTCTCATCCTCTTCTTTTAGATTTACCAGAACAGGTCTTTATAAAAGCTTGAACTGAAAATGCAAGTGGAGAAAAAAAAGAAAAAGACTTTTGAAAGTAATTATTTCTGAAAAAAACCCCCAAACAACAAAAGCTAGAGTCATACTAGTTCTTAAGCTGAAGTTAACTTGTTTTTAAATGGCCTGCCTATGGAAAGAGCTATGGCTTTTCAATGGGTCAATTATGGGCACCTTTGCCTGGGATAAGAGAACAGCAAGCACAGAGAGATAAGGAGGAGAAAGTAAAAAAGATCATGCTGGCACGTGTGCCCAAATGTCTATAGGGGCATAGGGAAGGTCATCCTGTAAAGGTTTACACTGGAAAGTTTTTACTGACTT